GGTTTTTTCTCTTTCTGGTAAAATATACATGAAATTCAGCGTTTTAACCATTAAGTGTACAATTCCGTGGTGTTATGTATGCTCACAATGTCATACAACCATCTCCACCATCCATCTCCAGAACGTTCTCATCTTCCCAAACAGAAACTCTGTCCCTGTTAAACACTAATTACCTCTCCCCGCTCCACCAGCCACCATCTTGTCTTTATGAATTTGAGACCTGCAGGGACCTCATGAGGGTAATCACACAGTATTTGTCCTTGTTTTACTGAGAATAATGTCCTGAAGGTTCATCCATGTGTAGCAGGTGTCAGAATTTGCTTTGTAAGGCTGAGAAATATTCCATTGTGTGGGTGGACCTCATCGTGTGGATCCATTCATCCACCCATGGACACTCGAGTTGTGTCTACCTTTTGGCTGTCGGGAATCATGCTGCTGTGAACGTTGGTGTGCAAATACCTGAGTCCCTGCTTTCAATGCTTTTGTGTGTACGTACCTAGAAGTGGGACTGCTGGGTCACGTAATTTTGTTTATCTTTTGAACTGCCTTCTAATCTTATACTTTTTGATACACAAGGGATAATTTTTATGTAGTGATGAAGTGTTTTATACAGAGGAAGTTCTTTTCTACTCAGAGGTCGGAATCACCCATTTGCAGATTTATTAAAAATTTAACTCTTGCCCTGGCTTGTTTGGCTCAGTGGTTAGAGCGTTGGCCTGCAGCCCGGAGAGACCAGGGTTCGGTTCCCACTAAGGGCACGTACCTCAGTTGCAGTTTGTCCCCGGCCCTGGTTGGGTTGTGCGGGTGACAGCCACTCAATGTGTCCCTTTCACGTTGATGTTTCTCTCTCTCTCCCTCCCGCTCTATCTGAACAAAAAATGTAAAAATGTCCTTGGGTGAGGATAAAAAATTTTTTTTAACTCTTCATGGTATGGTGTGAGTAGGACCATGACTCATTGGACTTCCCTGGAGTCTCTCTGGTGGTTGGGGTGGTTTCTGGGTGACAGGTGAATGGGGGTGAGATGATCTTCCGGGTCTCTGAGCCCTTCAAAGATCAAGGCCATTCCCACGGGCTATGCCAAACAAACCCTCTCAATCCATGAGGCACGTGGCTCATGCCATGTAAATAGCCTTTCCCCCTAAATTTTCTAGTTACAAATCACAAAGCCCATCAAAGCTGAAGCCACAGCCCGGCCGGTGTGGCTCAGTGGTGGGCGTGGTCCCATGTACCAAGAGGTCACCAGTTTGATTCTTGGTCAGGGCACATGCCCATGTTGCAGCCTCAATCTCCAGTGTGGGGTGTCCAGGAGGCAGTCTGTCAATGTTGATGTTTCTTTCTCATTGATGTTTCTATCTCTCTTTCCCTTCCTCTCTAAAATCAATAAAAACATATTAAAAAAAAGTTTGGAAAAAAATAAGCTGAAGATACTTGTGAGTGCTGCTGCCTGAAGTGGGTTCCATCCATGCTGCCTCTTCCTGGGTGGAGGGGGGGCAATGCAGGGCAGCCCCAACCTCTCAGCAGTGGCCGGGGAGAGAAGTAAGGGCCCAGAGCTGGAGACAAGGAGCAGTGACCTTTTTATTGTGGATTAATTCACTTTGTATTGACAATTCCACACAATATTAAAATACTGCGAGAAAGTGGGTGTGACACACCTGGAATTTTTTTTAAAAATCAGAAATAAAAACCACCAGACATCCAAAGGCAGATGGGGTAGAACCTGCCAGAACCACAGATTGCTTCTGAAATACAGGAACAAGTTCTTACAACGTTTGGCAATGGGTTCTGTGGACAGAGGAGGAAGAGGGCGGAGCGTCCAACATATGGCTTGTTTTCAGGGGACCTCGTGGCAGGCTGGCTTTTTATAAGTACTCTTGAAGGATGAGCGACTTTTGATGGCCTCACTTTGGCCGGAAACTGCCCCTGGTCACTCAGGCTTGGGCTGCATCTGAGGCACCAAGGGGCCTTTTCCTGCTGGCCTAGAGCTGGCGCAGGGCTGGGGATCTTCACCAGATGGATGAGCTCCCTAGAGGCCCAGCCTTGTCATGGACCAGTGGCAGGGACATCAAAGCCAGAGAGGCAGCACCTTCCTCCCAGCCCAGCGGGTTTACATCCCTTGGGGTTGGAGGTCACAACCCAGTCACTTCATTCTTGGCCTGGGAGTTACCTTTGGGAGGATGGAGCAGGGGTGCATGGTCCATCTCCTTCCTGGAGGGGGGGAGTCGTCTGATCAGGGGCTTGGCCAGGCCAGACCAGGGCCCACTAGAAACACGGAACCAGACTGCAGAGGACGGAGACTTCGCATCTCCACAGCCGTGTTCTGTGTTTGTGTCCTTAATCCCCCCTCATGGCTGGAGATACAGGTTTCCCCAAGGCCTGCACTACCGCCACCACCCGCTCCCTAACACTTTACAACGTTTGGCAATGGGTTGTAAAGAAAGCAGGTTTTCATGGGGGACACGTGTCAGGGATGCACAAACAGTGTACATTGTGAGTACACTGCTGTTTTAGGTCTACACTCTGGGCAGTGAGGTTTACTCTAAATGGAAAAAAGGAGGTTTTTTTCCCCTCAACTAGAAAGAAAACCACAGTGAGACTTCTGCCACCTCCCTGGGGTCTGAGGTTGTGGGCACCTGGGGGAGTCAGCTGATCAGTTAGGCAATAGAGTGGGAAACCACCTATCCTCACTCTTGCTGGGCCTCAGTTTACCCAAACCACTCAGTCCCTTGGTTTTTGGACTCAGAAGCCTCTGCAGACCCAGGCTGGAGCCTGCTTCAGGGCTGAGGGGAGGGGTGGAAAGGGGACCGCGTTGGCAGCCTGAGACCATAGCCGGCCATGGAGCTGATGAACTTGGGTTCATAGCCCCCTCCCTCAGCTTTGCTTCCCACTGGCTTCTCCAGAGTCACTTGGGTCGGGGACAGATGGTGGAGCTGGGCTTAGATTGACTGGCAGGGCAGAGGGCAGAGCGAGAGGGGAGGTCTGGGCCCCTGGGGGACTCCTGATGCTGAGATCGGGACCTCCTGGCCTCTCTGGGGCCTGGTGGCCGGACAGTGGGGGACACAGGAAGGATGGGCGTGCAAGGATCTGATGCAGGCTCAAGGGATTAAGGCTTCTCTCACAGAGCAAAGGGGGTGCACTAGTAACCAGTCACCAGATGGCTGGTGGGACGGGCCAGCAGACGTGGTCTCCACAAAGCCTTGCTCTGTCACCCACTCCCTGCCCTCTCAGGGTTAATTCCCACTGGGTCCTAGAACAGGGCTTTTTTCCATTTTGCTGGGGACAGTGAGAAGCTCTGGGGTGATGTAAGCGTACTGCCCAGTGAAAGGTGGCTGCAGCATGGCTGCCTTCATGGCTTTTCCTGACCAACTGCAGGTCTGAAGGTGCTGGCTTCCCCAAAGCCCCTTGTGCTCCCAGACCGGCTGGGGAGAGCTGGGTGCTGGAAAGAAAGTCTGCGCCCGCCAGTCTGTACCCCGTGGGAGCTGTGTGGAGGGTCAGCCACTGGAGCCTTCTTAGCCCTGGCAAGATCTGAGCCTTGGCCCCGGCTGTGAGGTGAGGGCCTGGGCCTGGCAGCTGTCCAGGACCCTGCTGGCTGGGCCTCAGACTCTGATGTCCACTGGGGCCACAGGGGCAGAGCTGGGGTTGTTTCTTCCCACAGTTTGTCCCCGGCTCCATGGCAAGACAGGCGGGGACCCCGAGTCCAGGGCTGTATGGGGTCCTGGCAGCCACAGGTGGCATTGGCAGGGGAGGAGGGGGGTGCATTTGGTCCCAGCCTCTTGCTCCTCTAACTGTCCATGTCGTAACAGAGGAAAAAGTAATTTTTAAAAAGCCCCTGTCCCCAACCTCCAATTCCATGACATCAAATTTCCAAGGCTGTGGGACGAGGATGAGTTGTACTCATATGTCCCTCACTTTCTCCAGCCGAGTTCTGGGTCTAAGGGGCGTGAAAGCAAAGAGAGAGCATCCAGAGAGTAGCCTCCAGCTACTTCCAGACCCTTTAACACCTTTTCACACTAGGCACCAGGTGGCCCCACCCACCGGGCTGCAACCCTGTTTGAACAATGGCCATGAAGTGGAGAAAAACCAAACCAAAACAAGAAAACCAGAAGACTGCAGCTTCTAATCGCCCACATCAATGTCAGGTGCTTCAAACAAAATAAAACCCAGCTGGCCATTCCAGGAACCAGGGCAAGTTGCTGAAAATCCCTTTCTGTGACGGGTGGGGTCCCAGGAGAGGGCAGGGTCACGCATGGCTGTACGGTGATACATGCCATTCAGCAAGGTGACACTTGGTGACACAGGGTGTGTTTTCCAGGCAAAGCCCCCCTCCTGGCCTCTAAAATCCACTTGTGCATTATTACACAGTACAGCTTGGCCAAGTGTTCAGCCATGGGAATCTGATTTTAGCAGTATAGAATAACAATTTTTTAAATGAAAAGATTTCTCCCTGAAAAGTTCATGATATCCCCCAACCCCCAAATTTTACTCTGCTTTTTTTTTTAAAAAAGCACTGTAGCAGAAGTCTTTTTACAAGTGGCTAATTGTGTGAGAATGGCCAGCCGGCCAGGTTGCCCAGGTCACCCAGGACCAGTGGCCAGTGTCCCCTTCCAGTCTCTTTTCCTGACCAGCTTGGCTCTGGACCACAGCTCAAATGGCAAGTGAGAGTTTAAAAAAATGGTGACCGTATCCTTTGGGCATCTCAGGTCTTCCTAACTGGAAGTAGTTGTGTAGCTGGCATCCATCTTTCGGCCAGGCCCCAAGGGCTACGCTGTTCATTCTGAAAACCCATGGTTACCCAGTGGGTACATTTTACCCAATCTGGGTGGTGGCAACATTTTACATTTCTTTTGGCATTAAAAGTTTCAGGGACCCAAAATGCTTCGCTTCAACTATGTACTGAATGATGCCCTGACAGAGAGAGAGAGAGAAAGGGGGTGGGTGGGGGGAGAGGGTCTCGAGAGGGGGGGAGAGGGAGGGAGGGGGGCAGAGAGAGAGAGAGAGAGAGAGAGAGAGAGAGAGAGCACGCCAGAAGAAAACCAAGCTATAGAATGACACAAGGCTTCTTGTCCTTGAAGGGATTCTCAGAGGCAGGGACTCCGACCAGCAGGGGATCATTCCGGGCATGCTGCTCACAGTAACTCATGAGTTCCGATGAGGCTTTGGAGACCTGAGTATAGGCATAAGGATGAGAGAGAAAAGGTAAGAGACTAATACATGTGTGTTCACAGCAGCATATTCACAATAGCCAAAAGGTAGATACTACCCAAATGTCCATCAGCTAATGACAGATGACTACAGTGTGTCCCTCCACACAATGGAATATTACTCAGCCATGAAAAGGAACGAAGCACTGACACTCACTACAACATGGATGGACCTTGAACACATGATGCTTAGTGAGAGAAGCCAGACACAAAAGGCCACAGAGTATGTGATTCTATTCATGTGAAATGTCCAAAACAGGCAAATCCACAGAAACAGAGAGTGATTTCATAGTTGCCAGGAGCTGGGGAGGGGATGAAGGGTAACTACTGATGGGGATGAGGTTTCTTTCTGTGGTGATGAAATGATTTGGAATTGGATAAAGTTGATGATTACACAACACAAAACATACTAAATATCACTAATGATAAATTTAATGCTGTGTATTTTACCACAATTTTTAAAAAATTAAAAAAGAACTGAGAATTCTTCAGCAGGAGTTGCCCAGATTTTGCACAGAAACAGTCAGAATGAGATGCAGCCTCTCTAGGAGTCAGCCTAAGACTCCATGAAAGGACTGAACAGGAAGATACCTGCTTGGACATTGGCATAACCGAGGAGCATCAGACAAGCTTGCATTTCCTTTCTGTGCAGTCTGAACCCACTGGGGTCCAGTGACCCAGTGAGGGTACTGACCCTTGGGACCACCTGTATCAGAGTCCCCAAGAGAGAAGGGAGGTGAAGGGAGGGCCCCTGGGAAAGCTGACATGGGGAAAATGTGGCATTTAGCATTGGGGAGCTGAGGGTTACTACAGAGGGTGCCCCCTTGACTACATGCCCCATTCTTCCTGGCCATGCATTTAGGGGTGCTGTAGGGGTTGTCCCACTCTTCTTGCCCCAGCAGGTATCCTTGGCAGGGGTGAACAGGACATGTCTGTGGGTCCCTGGATCCCATCCCAGGGGCAGGAACTGTCTGTCCACAGGGCCCCCTTTCTTAGCCCCTCGTTTCCTCACCTGTAAGGCCAGAGGGCAATGAGAGCTGTGCAGAGGCTGCTGGGTGGCAAGATGAGAGACCGTGACTTGAAAGCCTCAGCAGGGTCTGCGACACTGCACACCTGAACGCCAAGAACACTCCACCCCTGTCCTGTGCTGGGGGATGCTCCTGCCCGGAGACAGCCACAATTGCCACTGTTGTGAGCACTCTGGCTGCTTGCGGGATGGCTGCCTTTGATGAGCAGATGGAGCTTGGTTTCTAGAGTCCTATTTGGAAAGTACCCCTCCCAGACGACAAAAATAGTCATGGGGCCCTAAAATAGCTGATGTTGTGGCTCCAGCTTGTGGCCCCCCCGCCCATCCCTGGCGTTGACAGGAAGGCTCTGCCCACAGTGCCAGGGCCACCGTACCACTGCACATCCAGGCCGTGGGCACCTCTCCTCTCCCAGGCCATGGCTGGGTTGGCCTTTCAGGCAGGCTGATGCTCTGTGGTTCTGGTCACCGTTTTGGGGAGATGCAAAACCTCAGGCAGGGCTGAAGGGAGAGTGGGTTATGTCCTGATTCCCCTCCTCCCAACTTTCAAAGGGGTGGCCGGGGGCTGCTCCTGAACATCAAACGGGTGGATGAATCACCGCTCCACCAGGGCTGGGAGCTGGCACTGCTCACAAAGAAAAACCACTTCAACCGGGCCCTTCTCTTTCTTCAGCCTGAAGGAATGCTTTGAATGTGCACAGTTCTGGAACATTCAGCCACCTCCTGGGAGGCACTCCCCTACCCCCTGCAGCAGCCCTCCCCACCCCAACTGGCTGGTGGAGGCCCAGGGGAACCATTCCCCACTCTTCTGCTGCCTGGCTGTCAGGTGTGCTTGCACCTGGCTGGGCCATCCCTTCCTAGTGAATTCCCGTGACCAGCAACGACTGGGGCATGACAGGTGCTCAGGAAAGCGAGTCTGAACACATCCATGGGCTGATAGTTGACTTTGTGTTTCCATTGGCTAGGCCACGGCACCCACATATTTCATCTAACACCATTCTAGATGTCTCTGAGAACATACTTTATAGATAATATTAACATTTAAATCGGTTGTCTTTGAGTAGAGCAGATTAGCCTTTACAATGTGGGTGGGCTGCATCTAATCAGTTGAAGGCCTTAAGAGAAAAATTGAGATCCTTGCAAAGAGGAGAGAATTCTGCCTCCAGACAGCCTTGGGACTCCAGCTGCAACACTGACTCTTCCCCGGGTCTTTTTTCTTTATTGATGTTAGAGAGAAAAAAAGAGAGAGGGAGAGAGATAGAAACACTGATGAGAGAGAACGATTGGCCGCCTCCTACATGTCCCTTACTGGGGATTTGACCCACAACCTGAGCAACCTGACTGGGAATCAAACCAGTGACCTCTTGGAGCATGGGTCGACGCTCAACCACTGAGCCACACTGGCTGGGCTCTTCCTTGGTTCTTCAGCCTACGTACCGGTCTTCACCCCTACGATGGCATAAGCCAGTTCCTTAAAATACATCTTTCTTTCTATGATCTATCGCTCGATAGATAGATAATGTATACACATCCTGTTGGTTTTATTTCTCTGGAGAACCCTGACTAACACTGGGTAGCTGGAGCAGGGATAATCTAGAAGCATAAAGCACCGGCACCTTCTAGATGGAAACTCCCTGGTTCTCACTGGGCTGTCTGCAAACTGGGGCAGGAAACACTCTATTGGAGGCACCTCACTCCTTTGCAAAGTGGACACAGGTTTGGTGAGAAGGTGCCTTTGAAAAGTGTTAGGCATCTTTCTTGTGTAAGCAGCTGTGACCAGCCTGCTGGTCCATGTCCTTGGAAAGGAGGAAACATGTGTGCCCTGGATGTTGTCCTGATGTCCCCTCATGGACTTATAATTCATCTATATAAACACAATGTGTTCATGCACACTCTGAAATATTACTCAGCCATGAAAAGGAGGAAAGCACTGACACTTGTTACACATGGGTGGACCCTGAACACATGATGCTCAATGGGAAACCAGACACAAAAGGCCACATAGTGTGTGATTCCATTTACTTGAATGTCCAGAACTGGCAAATCCACAGAGACAGGAATTAGTGGTTGTCAGGGGCTGGGGAGGAGGTTGGGGGTGACTGCTAAGAGGGATGGGGTCTCTTTTTTGGGGTGAAGGAACGTTCTGGATCTAGACAGAGGGGATGGTTGCACATTGTGAATGCACTCAATGCCACTGAATTGTGCACTTCAAAATAAATGGTTAACTTGATGTTACACAAATAATTTTTTAAAAATCTCTGTCTGCAGAGCTGACAGTGCAATGATGCACTATTTTATTTTGCTTTGCGTGTTCCTGGTCTCTGATGGGTTAACTGTCTGTGAACAGAAACTGCTTGTCCTTTTTCTTTTTTTAGAATAAAAAGCAAACATGCTTATTTCAAAAATTCACACAGTGAAGAGGTGAAGCAAGCAGGAAGTGAGAAGCTCTGTTTCTACCCTTCCCTGGAGCAGGTCTCTCACTCCAATCTTTGAGGGGAATGGGAGGACAGAAGAGAAAGTGCCTGCCCCACGCTGGTCCTTGGGTGGGGCCTGAGGTGGCCGTCACTGGGGCTTCCAGAGAGGGATCACAGGGGCTGGGGGTGAGGTCATATTTACGAATCACTGTGGCACATGGGATCATCACAACCCATGAAGTAGCTTTACATCAGCTGTGTCCTTAGGCTGCACAGCGAGAGGCACAGCTGCAGTGCCAGCCTGTCCTCCTGCCCAGCGCGCCGCGGAGGCCACAGGTCTCTCCTCCGCTGCCCTGCTCACCTTGATACGCTGGATCCCGGCTTCGATGCGGAGCTGCTCTACCAGTTTTCGGGCCTGGGCGATGTTGTTAGTGGCTGACATTGTCTGCCATCAGCTCTGGGCCCCGTGGTCCAGAGAGCTGTGGAGGGAAGCGGACAGCGTGAGCCGGCTCCGGAGGCCCCAGGACCGCATGCAGCTGAGGACAGACAGGCAGGACGCCCCCCAACCTGGGAGCTCTCTGGCCACCATCCCTACTACCCTGCACTCTGGGGACTGGCCAGGTTGTTTGTGTCCTCCAGTCAGAGGTGGGAGGCCTGGCTGAACCCCTCTTCGCCCACAAGTTCCTTCCTGTGGCTAGTTTCTGGTTGTGGCCATGGAGGGTCCCCAGGAGAGTTCATGAAACCAATGTATTGGCTCCTGGCTGGCTCCACATGGGGAAAGCACCAGTTTTCTCTGACTCCTGCTCCTGCCCCAGGATCTCTGGAAATGGGGAAGGGTCACTCTGGGGTGGGGCCATCCTGGACACTGTAGGCTGTTGAGCAGCTTCCCTGGCCCCACTCTCCTGATGCCAGAAGCCTGCCCTGTCATGACTGCATCTGTCACCAGACATGGCTCATTTTCCCTGGTTGAGACCCCCTGGCTATCTGAGGCAAATCACCCGGGGACACCACACACTGTGGATCCTGGGTCTATCACACCCCCCCCCTCTGGAGGGCTGGGACTATTTCATTCCTTCCTTCATTGACTCATTTATCTGTTCAGTGAACTCTCACAGAGGGTTCTTGCCCCGTGTCCGGCATAGCTCTGAGAATCGAGCAAATGATTGTCGCCTGTATGTGGGTGCCTAGTTCAGACTTCTGCCCTTTCTCCCAGCTCACCCCACAGCCGAAGCCCGGCTGTCTTTGGAACCAGCTGGCCCATGACCTGAGCCTCCACACCTGGCTGCCCAGGGAGGGCAGGAGCAAGAAGTGCTGGCTCTTTCCTGCTCCAGAGTGGCTTTGGAGTGGGTGGGACAGTCACGGGAAAGGAGATTTATGTCAGAAACTCCAGGACAGTGGTTGCCAGAGACTGAGGGCGCCCATTTGGTTCTGCAGGGTTTCCAGAGCTTCCCAATACACTGGGGCTCCTGTTCCTCTACTAGTGTCCTGGGGTGGCCATGACAACCACACACTGGATGGCTTAAAACAACAGAAATGTATTCTCTCAGATCTGGAGGCCCCGTTCTCTGAGGGCTCCAGGGGAGGGTGCTTGCCTCTCCCAGCTCCTGGTGGTGGTTGTCCTTGGTGTCCCTTGGCTTGTGGCTGCATCACCCCAATCCCTGCCTCTGTTGTCACATGGCCTATGTGTCTGTGTCCATATTTTCATCTTCTTATAAGGACACCAGTGATTGGTTCAATGTAACCTCATCTTAACTAATAACATCTGCAACGACTCTATATCCAGATAAGGTCCCATTCAGAGGTTCCAAGTGGACACCTATGATGGGGGACCCTACAGTTTCCCTGAGTATGGATGGTGTGCTTAGGGTAACCCGCTTCATGTGGGTGGATGATTCCAGATAAACCCTCCCCCTCCCCCGTAGACCTGCAGCTAATTCAGATCCAGAACAAGAGATCTCATGTTGTTTTCTCTGGTTCAGATTCTACCTGTGGACCTGTCTCCCTGGCACCCTGAAGAGTCAGATGTCACATGTCACAGTTTAGGGGATCAGAGTGCCTCTTTGTGTGTGCTCCGTCACCAAAAAAAAGGCTCACCCTTTATTATGCCAACAATTCCTGTTTTGCTCTTATTTGGGGTGGTTTACATGTTCCTTCCAAAATATATATTTTTTAATCCTAACTGAGGATATATGTTTTCTATTTATCTTCAGATAGAGTGGGAGGGGAGAGAGATGGGGTGGGGGACATCAATATGAAAGTGACACATCAACTGGTTGCCTCCCGCACGACCCTGACCAGGGCCAGGGACAAACTGCAACTGAGGTATTGCACCCTTGACTGGAATCAAACCCGAGACTCATTGGTCCACAGGTTGATGCTCTAACCACTGAGCAAACGGGCCAGGGCCCTTCCAAAATATTTTCAGTAACTTAAATTAAATTTTAAAATGTGAGCCCTGGCCGGTTCGAGTCAGTGGTTAGAACATCAGCCTGCGGACCAGAGAGTCCTGGGTTTGGTTCCCACTAAGGGCACGTACCTTGGTTGCAGCACGTGCCCCGGTTGGGGTCGTGTGGGTGGCGACCACTCAGTGTGTCTCTCTCACATCGATGTTTCTCTCTCTTTCTTCCCCCCTCTCTCCCTCCTGCTCTATCTGAGGATAAATGCAAAAATGTCCTCGTGTGAGGATAAAAATTTTTTTTAATGCGAGATGCCTGTTGATTCATGTGCAGTTGTAAGAAATAATAGAGACCACGTGCACTTTGCCCAGTTTTCCCCAAGGGCGATATCTGGCAAAACTGTAATGAGATCACAACCTGGATGTTGACATCAATGCAGGAAAGACACAGGACATTTCACCCCAGGGTCCCTCCTGTGGCCCTTAGATGGCCATACCCAGGTCCCCCAAACCCACCTCCATCCCTGGCGACCACTGGTAGGCTCTCTTGCCCTGTTTGTCATTGGGAGAATGCTATGTAAATGCGAGCCCTCGGTGTGGAACTTCCCCCACTTGGTGTCACTATCTGGAGCTCCATCTGAGTTGCTGCCTGTGTCAGTGGGTCGCTCCTTTTCACGGCTGAGTTGTGCTCCACGACAATGATGTGCACAGTTAATCATTCCCCAGTGGACATCGGGGCTGATTCCACATTTTAGCCATCACGAATGAAGCTGCCATCAACATTCGTGTGAAAATTAAGTCTCTATTTCTCTGGGATAAATGCTGAGAAGTGTGACTGTAGGCTTAATTTTAAAAACCTTTTTGATTTTGCCCTGGCCGGTTTGGCTCAGAGGTTAGAGTGTCAGCCTGTGGTCCTGAGAGACCCGGGTTCGGTTCCCGCTAAGGGCATGTACCTCGGTTGCAGTTTCTCCCCGGCCCTGTTCGGTTGTGCGGGTGGCAACCACTCGATGTGTCCCTTCACATCGATGTTTCTCTCTCTCTCTCTGTTCCTCTCTCTCCCTCCCACTCTACCTGAACAAAAAATGGAAAAATGTCCTCGGGTGAGGATAAAAAAAAAAAAAAAAGCCCTGGCCAGTTTGGCTCAGCGGTTAGAGCGTCGACCTGCGGTCCTGAGAGACCCGGGTTCGGTTCCCGCTAAGGGCGCGTACCTCGGTTGCGGTTTGTCCCCGGCCCTGGTTGGTCGTGCGGTGGCAGCCACTCGATGTGTCCCTTTCACATCGATGTTTCTCTCTCTCTCTCTCTTCCTCTCTCTCCCTCCCACTCTATCTGTACAAAAAATGGAAAATTGTCCTCGGGTGAGGATAAAAAAAAACAAAAAAAACCACCTTTTTGATTTTATTTATTTATTTAATTTTTATCCTCACCCGAGGACATTTTTCCATTTTTTTGTTCAGAGAGAGTGGCAGGGAGAGATATGAAGAAAGAGAGAGAGAAACATCGACGTGAAAGGGACTCATCGAGTGGCTGCCACCCACATGACCAACCAGGGCCGGGGATAAACTGCAACTGAGGTATGCAACCTTAGCAGGAACCGAACCTGGGTATCTCTGGACCACAGGCCGATGCTCTAACTGCTGGGCCAAACCAGCCAGGGCAAAAACATTTTTTATTTTAGGGAAGGGGAGAGAAACATCAACTTGTTTCACATATTTAATGTGTTTATTGGTTGATTTTTTGAGGGTTAATCCTCACCCAAGGATATTTTTCCATCGCTTTTCAGATAGAGTGGAAGGGAGGGAAAGAGAGAGAGAGAGAGAGAGAGAAACATCAATGTGAGAGAGACACATGAATTGGTTGCCTCCCACACAACCCTGACCGGGGCTGGGGTTAGAACCTGCAACGCAGGTATGTGCCCTTGACCTGGAATTAAACCTGAGAGCCTTCGGTCCGAGGGCTAATGCTCTAACTACTGAGCCAAACTGGTCAGGGCTGTGAGTTTAATTTTTAAAGAAAACGCCAAGCTTGTTTTTTTGGAGTGGCTGCACCACTTTACATCCCTACCAGCGATGTATGGGTGATGTTAACTTGTTTTTGTAATTCTGTTATCCAAATTCTTTTCTGTTCCTTAAGGCACTGAAAATTCTACTTTTTCATTCAATCTTCATTTAGTGATTACTAGTGGTTATCATATTGAAAGTGTTCCTGTCATCGAGGGGGTGGGGGCCAGGAATGCTGCTCAACACCCTATAATGCCCAGGATGCCAGACGGGGGGTGGGGTAGTGGGTGCTGAACCCAAGCTCAACAGTCCTGGGAAGCCCCCGCCACAGCCAGGCCGACTTCTAACCAGGTAACTAAGTGGCACTCTGTTTCCGTTACCATATACTGTATCATATCACTGTATGCTTGGTAGTCAGGAGGGCCAGGTGGTTATGAAAAATTAAAGGCAGATTTTTTTTTCAATATGTTTATAGCTTGAATTTCAGTGTATTCTGGTTATATAATTCCATCACCTCAAGGGTTGTGTATTACGAGATCTGTAATTTTTCTCAAAAAAGCCGTATATATATATTTTTTCTTTATTTGTTTTAGAGAGAGGAAGGGATAGAAAGATAGAAACATAGATGAAAGTACATCCTCTGCATGCCTCTCACTGGGGATTTGGCCCACAACCTGGGCATGTGCCCTGACCAGGAATTGAACCAGTGACTTCTTGGTGCATGGGCCAATGATCAACAGACTTTTAAAAAATTTCTTATTTGGCAATCAAAAGGAATGAACTGTAGCCCTGACCAGTTTGGCTCAGCAGTTAGAGAATCGGCCTGTGGACCAGAGAGACCCGGGTTCAGTTCCCACTAAGGGCACCTACCTCAGTTGCAGTTTGTCCTTGGCCCAGGTTGGGGTCGTGTGGGTGGCAACCACACGATATGTCTCTCTCACATCGATGTTTCTCTCTCTCTTCCTCCCTTTCTCCCTCCCGCTCTATCTGAAGATAAATGCAAAAATGTCCCGGGTGAGGATAAAAAAAAAAAGTAAAGAAAGGAATGGACTGTTGATAAACATGCCTTGGATGGCACTCCAGGGAG